TTTTTTTTTTTTGGTCAATTTTACTAATCGAGTGGAATATCGAAATCACTAAGAGTGAACTTCATAGCAATGATGAAAGTGGGGAAGAGAGAAAGAGAGAGAGAGAGAGATGAATAGAAGAATTTCCTAGCAGCAGAGGTGTAAGCACCGCTCGGTTTTACACCTGTTCGTGCGCGTGGTTGTAGATCGTTCACCGGTTTGCATCCGTGGAAAATGTGGCTACCCGCTATTATACGTGCTTCACGCCCCTCGAGTGGAAAGTGATCTGATAGCGGATTTTTATAGCGCGCGAAGAGAGCTTTTCAACGCCGCATGATCTATTCTTTTACACCGATGGAAATTTTTTTTTAGAAATGCATTGCTTTCTAAGTGAGTCATCGTTTTCCCTCCCCCCCCCCTTTTTTTTGTTCTCTTTTCATTTCTTTCGTGTAATTCGTCGATCGATAATTCTCTCATTTGGAAATCTCTTCTTTTATATTTAGAAAATTCATGATATCCCGACATAATGTTACACAGGTAGAACTGCTGACCTCCAATTTAATTCGTATCGTAATCTGGGTTGCCAATTGATTATTATTGTTATCATTCGTATGTATTGTATCATTGTTATGAAACTGTTATACTGTTATACTGTTAATAGATTAAACACAGTGATAAATTACTCACATTAGCAAATTCGAGAGATACCGGCAATTTCCGCTTTTGGTAAAGATGTCGAACGATCCTTAGGGAGTGCGATCCTCGTATAGCAGTCTCTCCGTCAGCTTAGCAGTTCGGTGGTTTCTGTAAATCTCGCTTTTCGGTCGAATAATTTACCAGTACGAATGTTTTGTGCGTCGTTTACGCGGCGATTTCCCGATTGGCAAATCGCTAGCAGCATATTTAGGGTGGTTGCTCGCGTGCAGCCGTGGTGGCCGCACTCGCACGCGTACGTTTAGAGTATGCGGTATATGTGCATCGCGTCGGTTACGTAGCTACTTACTGTAGCTTTCGTGATACATGGAGGTCGCACCTAAATTTCCCCTGGGAGTCATACGTCTCTTCGGCCTCTCGGCAACTCTCTCTATTTTCCTTGTGTCCCCTCTTTTCTCCTCCGCCCCTTCGCACGATCTTCGCGATGAGTTCTTTTTCCTCCCTTTGCTCTGTTTCTCCCGCGACGATTTTGCCTTTCCTTTTTTGCCTTTCTCTCTGTCTCCCTTTTTCTCTTTCTTCCTTACTCGGAAGGTTTTCCGCGGGACCAAAGATCAAACGTGGGAGCTGACTACGGGAAAAGGAAGATGCGCTCCGCCGTTCCTTCGTCGCGACCGTTGGTATACATTAAAATAATTGAGCGAGAACAGATCCCGTCTGGGTGCCGCTGGAATTCCTTTTCAGTTCGTATTTCAATTTCTTCCATTCCGTGCGCCAAATCCGTAGATACGACGACGCGATTCGTGATCATTATCGGATTTCGTTCGCCTGATTTTTCGTCCATTTTCGAAACGAGATCAAAGATTTACGATAACAACCGTTTGGATAAGAGTGGATTGACAAATAGAGAGATACTCAATTCGACACCGGTTCGTAATCGTGTAATTTTACGAAGATATCAGACCTTTATAAATATGAAATCATTTTTATCTACAGTCTCTAATGCTTTTTGCATCATTAGATCTCCCGATAAACAATACGTACAGTCATCCGCAATAATTTGCTACATACAGCTTGTTAAGATTTCAAGTGTTTAAAGGAGAACATTTTGATAAATAATAAAATAAATTAAAAGAACTTGTTTTTTCTTTTACATAAACTAATACAAGATGGTGTGTTAATTATAAATAATCATTTTTCTATCAACATCAGATAACAATTATCTATTCTAAGATTGCTCTCTGCACTTGTTAAATTTATTTTACAAAAAATATCTTACCATTGATCTTTTAAACTTCTTTCTGCCCACTGTATATAAACGTTTGTAATTGGCTGTAGCTCCGTTTTAGCAATGAAAAAAACGTTAGCGTCTATTAATATGTTAATCCCATACCCTTAACGCATAAATCAACGAAATCAAGGTGTTTTATACGACGCGGCAGAATCAGGAGAATTAAACGGGCCGCGTTCTCGAGTGATATTAAAAGCCACGATAATAAAGCTGTGTCGCCTTGATCCTATTCCTTTCCTAGTGTCGCGCCTTTTTAATAAGAACTACCTTCCTTCCTTCCGCCTCCGCTTCAAGCACGTACATCTAAGCACGACGTTCCAAGATTTTTC